TTCTCCTTCCATAATTGATCCTTCAACATTATTGCTACTCCTTCGTTAGCTCTAACGCTCTCAGACACTCTCCTGACTTAATCCCATTTATTTCTCCCCAATGAAATTCACCTACCCTCTTCAGCTTTGTTTCGCTTAGAGCTAAGACATTCAACTTCTTTTCATTCATAATATTAGCAATCATCTCTTTCTTATCATCCGCACTACATCCACGCACATTATAACGGGTTTGTTTGGTAGGCTGTAAGCGGGGTGTGAATGATACGTCTTCGGAGGCTTTTTTGTTTATTGTTAAGTCGTGGTGGGTACACAGGCTTGTGTGTTTGTGCCCATGGCCCGGGCAGGGCCATCCCACGAGAGAGAGCTGGGAGTACTTGTGTCTTGCTGCTAGGCCGCTGTGTGAGTGAGGCAGAGGCAAGGGCAGGCAGGCTGGCATGCCCACCGAGAGGCCTGGCTACAGAGGGCAACACTTGAGTGGTGCGAAATATGAACTAAGCTGGCAGACAGCATGGGCTGTCTGTGCAGACAGTACAGGCTGTCTACATACGCTCGGCCACCTACTGCGCGTCGTCCCGATGCGACGATACTGGTGGTAAAAGGAACTCGGTCTCTCTCTCGTAGGAACAGGGCACAGAACACAAAATAAAAACATATATATACATATGGACATGGAAAAAAAAAACTTCCTACAGGGAGGGAAGAAAAAAACATGTGGGGTGTGCTAAACATCATGGTCAAAGGCAGTGAGCGGCGATGGGCATCACTGCATGCCTTCCTGCGTCTGGACAGATACTGCAACACGGGAGACATCACTATGGCCTCCTCTGGAATGGTGAAGCAGTCATCGTAGGAGTCGCTGCAGGTTTCACTCAACCTGGGGCACGACATGCTGGTGCCCTCGAGTGAGGCGTCGACAAAACTCGGCAACTGGGCAGGACTTCTGGCAAGCGACTCAGTAGGACACTTCTCGACTGGTACTGTCGCTGGGCTGTCACTGCCGGCGAGCGTGGAGCGAGTTGTGGAGGGAGTCGTGGCAGAGACGACTGGGCGAAACATCTGGGAGTCGTAACATCATACACCAGACTGCAGTGACCGAGCTAGCAGTCAAAGTGACATCTTCTTTGTGCAGGCTGCTCACTGAAGCTTGTGACAACTCGAGGCTTACACAGCGCCTGCCGACAGTGGCTAACTGCGGCTTGCGAGTATCATTCTCTCGGCAGTTGGAGTTATAGCAGAGGTTAGTCTAAGCGTCCCCAGACTTGTTTCTCTACATATAACTGCATTCTGAAGGTCTGGAGGTGAAGTGAAACAAATCTCGATGGGAATCGTAGCAGATACGATTCTGCAGAACATCACGAGCGACGAGCATAAAAGCTTTCTGTACAAGAGGGCTCGGTCACTCGGGGCTGACTGACATCAGCTGTCATACACACTGGTCACACGGGTGACTTAGCACAGTGGTGCTACTCAGGTCTGGCTCAGACCTCACTGGACACACGGAAACTTTACACACCCGCGGTACAACATGGCATAAACTAGCAAATGATGCTTTTCTGCGCATAAAACTGACTCTAAGACATACTAAAATGTGAGAACACTGACTGAGAGGAATTAATTAACACACGACATATATCTTCTCTTAGTCTTCTCGACAATATTTTAATAATTACTGAACACTTGATGGTGACATCATGTGATGTCAGGCGTGATGACGTCAGCAGCACTGTGACGTCAGCAGACATCTCGAGGTGACGTCAGCAGACATCGTGACGTCATGAAGTCGGGCAGCATCGTGGGTGACGTCGATGTGGGCAGCAGACCACAGCATGTGGCCTGGGACATCTGGTAACTCACGTGGCTGGTAGATCTACGTGACATCGCCCACACCCACGTGGCGTCGGGATCCACGTGGTGTCGTGATCTACGTGGCATGCTGATCCACGTAGCTTCGAGTGGCCTCGGGCACTCAGATACACAGTTCTGGCAATGAATCACACAGAAAACAGCAGAAAACACAGCAGAGGGAGTGGGCAGTGGTGAGTGTATGGTAGATGGGTGAGCGTGAGTAGGGCGAGCATGGGCAAGGTGAGGAACAGCCACTTCCTCTCCTCCTCCTCCCACAAACACGTGGAGAAGCTCACACTGGACGCAGAAATCACCACAAAACTCACCTCTGTCTTGCTGAAATAGCTGTGCTGAGCGGAACAACAACAGCAACAACATACAAGTGACGCTGAACACGTGACTTGAGAAACAGCGTGGGGTCACAATTCTCGGAGAATTTCGGCAAATTTCGGCTGGATCCTGCTTGTACCTGTGTCTGGATGCTCAAAAGTGCAGACACGACATCAGGATAACTCGTTGAGAGACGGATGCTTCTTGTATGGGATGATGAAGTGAAGATGACTTCATACCTCTTCCTTCCTCTCTCTGGGCAAACAACTGCTGCGACCACCGCTTTCCACCATTTATAAAAAAAAGGTTTATTTGGTGTTCTGGTAGCAGGTGGTTAAATGATACGTCTTCGGAGGCTTCTTTGTTTATTGTTAAGTCGTGGTGGGTACACAGGCTTGTGTGTTTGTGCCCATGGCCCGGGCAGGGCCATCCCACGAGAGAGAGCTGGGAGTACTTGTGTCTTGCTGCTAGGCCGCTGTGTGAGTGAGGCAGAGGCAAGGGCAGGCAGGCTGGCATGCCCACCGAGAGGCCTGGCTACAGAGGGCAACACTTGAGTGGTGCGAAATATGAACTAAGCTGGCAGACAGCATGGGCTGTCTGTGCAGACAGTACAGGCTGTCTACACATTCAAGCATTCCAGTTTTATAAAGTTTTTCTTCTTCACTTTTCTAGTATTTTCTGCAGGAGTAGGGGTTACTAGCCCATTGCTCTGAGCATGTTAGTCGCCTCATATGACATGCATGGCTTACGGAGGAAAGATTCTTTTCCACTTCCCCATATATATATATATATATATATATATATATATATATATATATATATATATATATATAGATACATATATATATATATATATATATATATATATATATATATATATATATATATATATATATAATATATTATTATATAAATTAGGGAGGTACCACCTCTAGAACTGTCATAGGGACCCTCATCCTCAGAGAAAAGAATAAACTTGCTTCATGGAAAACTCAAGGCTTTCCCTGAAGCTGTTTCAGAATTTTCTCCTTCCACCCCCTATATTTCAAGTATGTTTTATTTAAAGACAAAAATACATTGGCCAAACATTCACAAAAATACAACAGAAAGTAAAACAACATAGGTAACTCAGAGCTACATCTCGAATACTTCGTCCAGCTCCCCTGCGGTGGGCCGCGTGCCCAGAATGCTGCAGGCATTTCCTCTCTGGATCGCAACACTGAGTCTCTGAAAGAGAAAGCTGGTCGCCCTGTGGTCCTTGGTTTCTCTCTCTCTCTCTCTCTCTCTCTCTCTTTATTATATATATATATATATATATATATATATATATATATATATATATATATATTATATATATATATATATATATATATATATATATATATATATATCTTATGCATATGCAAACAATCGCAGACGGGCGATCTTAAGTATGCTTGTCCTGCGCGCGCGCACACACACACACACACACACACACACACACACACACACACACAACCACACACACACATACACACACACACACACACACACACACACACACACACACACACACACACACACACACACACACACACACACACACACACAACAACACACACACACACACACACACACACACAACACACACGAAACACACACACACACACACACACACAACACACACACACACGCACACACGCTTATACAACAGGCCTAGTGTCTAATCGACATGTGCCTAGGACAAAATGGTAACTAACTAACACCTAAATCCCAGCGTATATATGCTGGGAGTTCATTTTTAAACCCTGTTTTCGTGATTAAAATATTCTTGTCTAGTGGTGAGGTTACGTGGAGCTTTAATGACCATCGTGTAGTCGATAGACTTTCAATCCCACTTAAGCAGCAATCCTTACTTACACAAGATTTGTCAACATGATTCTTCGATGCTGGTGAGGGGCATTTGATTCAAGGAATTGGAGTTATTCTTTCCTGGGTTCATACCTGATCACATCTTGTACCCTCTACCCCCCACTCCAAGTACTGTGTAACCCCCTACGGGCTTTGTGCTTCCCTCATGAATATAACTGATGCAATAAACGTCAGGGGCAGAGAAGAAGCACTATATTGACATGCTGTGTTGACCTGTTATGTTGACCTGCCTGCCTGACTTGACCTGCTATAATGTTGGTCTCTCAACGTTGACCTATAATGATGATCTGTCAACCTTGACCTATAATGTTTGTCTGTCAGTCTTGACCTATAATGTTGATCTGTCTGCCTTGACCTATAATGTTGATCTGTCTGCCTTGACCTATAATGTTGATCTGTCTGCCTTGACCTATAATGTTGATCTGTCTGCCTTGACCTATAATGTTGATCTGTCAGCCTTGATCTATAATATTGATTTGTCAGCCTTGACTTATAATGTTGATCTGTCTGCCTTGACCTATAATGTTGATCTGTCAGCCTTGATCTATAATATTGATTTGTCAGCCTTGACTTATAATGTTGATCTGTCAGCCATGACGTATAATGTTGATCTGTCAGCCTTGACCTATATTATTATTATAATCAAAAAGAAGCGCTACCTTGACCTATGATGCTGACCTGTCTACCTCGACCTGTTATGTTGACCTGCCTTGATCATCGTACCGATATGCACTGTACAGGGATGTACTCTTCTTCAGTACAATGATGTACTTTCCTTCAGTACAATGATGTACTCTCCTTGACATGCTCTTTTTTAATATATTGACCTTTCCATCAGTACGTTGACCTACATTGACCTATCTTAGGATTCATTTTAGCTGCACGTTGATCTGTCTGAACCTACTCTCCTGCAGTACGAGATGATAGTGAGCGCGCAGGCTGGGGAGGAGAGAGCGTTCGCGCGCGTGCTGGTGCGCGTCAGAGATGTCAACGATCTGACACCCAGCTTCTCCAGGCCCTTGGTGGAGACTCAGATCACCGAGGAGGATGACAGACACCTTCCCAAACCCATACTGCAGGTGAGTTGATCATGGTTGGAGGCATAATGAAGGTGAGCTGGGTATGAGTGGCATAAACTGCAGGTGAGCTGGGTATGAGTGGCATAAACTGCAGGTGAGCTGGGTATGAGTGGCATAAACTGCAGGTGAGCTGGGTATGAGTGGGACATACACCTAAACATCTCAGATGGTAAATCCTGCTTTCTTTTTGCAAACATTCAAATAAAAATGACAAACTTGATGAATATTAATGGGCTCCTCACAGAAGTGAACTCCGCCATGTTTGGAACATTTACAGAAAAATATACAAGGGATGTTTTGGACGATGTGATAACGATAAGAAAAACTGTATGTATAGATGTGATAGAATTAATAGGTCACGGGGAGGAGTAGGACTGTGTGTGAAAGATACTTTTTTTTTTTTGCACAAAATTGCTGAATTCATCGAATGATACAAAAGTTCTAGGTATTAAAGTAGAATACAGGGATCTGGTAATTATTATTGTATATAAACCACAGATCGGATAAGGAAGATAGCTGTCTTGAAAGGAAGGAAAATCCCACACCAAATATTATCCTCCTTGGTGATTGCAACATTTCGTATGTAAAATGGACTATGGTTCATCACAATATTATACTAGAAATAGTTCGTGGAAGCACAGTGGTTCAACAGGTACATACCAGGAAACTGATGAGGCTTTGTGAAAACTTCACATTCAACCAACAGATAATTTATCTCGCTAGAAGTGAAAATACACTGCATTTGATCTCCACAAACAGCGAGAAACTAATCAGAAACATAACAGTTGCAAAAATAATATATTTTGCCCACAACATCATAGAAGTACGAGTATAAACTCAGGGTTAGTGAAGTACAACACCAATATAAGAGAATTAATGTTCAGTAAGTTTAACTTTAACAACCATATAATTGACTGGGACAAAATAGACTAAGAACTATCAGAATATCCTGGAAAACAGACATGATCGCCCTAGATCCTCACCGGTGCCTGGAAAAGCTGAACACAAACATACAATATCTAAAAATATAATAATAATACAATAATATCGTTATTTACTACAAGTACATGTACATGGTTACAGGCCTAGCTGACATCAGTGACATACTACTTCGTATATAGAAAGCCCCTTGTTATGCTGAGCATTTCTGGCAAATTAGGTCAGTGTCCCAGGATGCGACCCACACCAGTTGACTAACACCCAGATACCCATTGTACTGATGGGTGAACACAGATAACAGGTGTAAAGAAACACGCCCAATGTTTCTACCCTCGCTGGGAACCGAACTCAGACCCCTCGCCGTGTGAAGCGAGAGCTCTAGCCACCAGGTCATCAGTTTCGACTGTTGGCACAAAATAAAATCAGAGCAAATGTTTTCCTGCTCTTCAGATGTTGAACAGCAATAGTCCAATTAACTACAACAACTGGAGATACAAAAAAAGTTTTGCAGTTTAGCAAGGAAAATTATGGTAATTATTAGACTTTAAATCGTAATAAATGGTTGAGACTAACACTTATATAAGTACTACAAATGTTTTGATAAATCTAGAAAATTTATCGCACCATGAGGGTGCTGCTCCTCAACCTTATAATAGTTTGAGAAGTGACGATGGTTGCAGGAGTATTGCAAGACCTCTAAAGGCTGACAGCACTAGATACACCTAGCCTGGGGGTGCTAGGTACCTCAAGGCTAGCTAGGCCTTTCCCACCTATCCTAGAGTCACGTGAATGTGCAAACTCCTTTATTACAGCCTCAGTACACTTCAGTGTGTCTGGTGAAGACCTTACCGAGGAGGCTGACTCTGATGTTGTCTTCAGAATAAGTGGCGCTGCAGGAGGCTAGTGTGCCAGCTAGTAACTAGCAGCGTCAAATATTGGTCAGCAGAGCATGTAGCTATTCTACTACCAGCTCCACTTTGAAAGCCCTTTACCAAATCACTGCTCCCAATAAACCATCTTTCACACGTCGCCGATGAATAGTGCGGAAAGTATAAGAATGTGGGTGGGTACTGGATGGATAAGTTGCAAAGAGAGTGTAGGTAGCACACTGGCTGTGTGCGTTGCTACCAGGGATACTATCCTTGCTGCCAGGAATACTGTGCTTGGTGCCAGAAATAATATCCTTGCTGCCAGGAGTACTATGCTTGGTGCCAGAAATAATATCCTTGCTGCCAGGAGTACTATGCTTGGTGCCAGAAATAATATCCTTGCTGCCAGGAATACGATGCTTGGTGCCAGAAATAATATCCTTGCTGCCAGGAATACTATGCTTGGTGCCAGAAATAATATCCTTGCTGCCAGGAATACTATGCTTGGTGCCAGAAATAATATCCTTGCTGCCAGGAATACTATGCTTGGTGCCAGAAATAATATCCTTGCTGCCAGGAATATTATCTTGGTGCCAGGAATACTATCCTTGGTGCCAGGAATACTACGCTTGGTGCCAGGAATACTATCCTTGGTGCCAGGAATACTATGCTTGGTGCCAGGAATACTATCCTTGGTGCCAGGAATATTACGCTTGGTGCCAGGAATACTATCCTTGCTGCCATGAATACTACCCTTGCTGCCAGGAATACTATCCTTGCTACCAGGAATACTATCCTTGGTGCCAGGAATACTATCCTTGCTACCAGTAATATTATCCTTGATGCCAGGTATACTGTGCTCGGTGCCGTGAATACTATCGTTAGTGCCAGGAATACTATCCTTGGTGCCATGAATACTATCCTTGGTGCCAAAAATACTATTGGTTCCAGGAATACTATCCTTGGTGCCAGGAATAATATCCTTGGTGTTAATACTATCCTTGGTGCCAGGAATACTATCATTGGTGCCAGGACTATCATTGGTGCCAGGAATACTATCATTGGTGTCTGGAATACTATCCTTGGTGTCAGGGATACTATCTTTCCACTGTGTTTCATTCCATTTGCTTGCAAAAAGTGTTCGAATCCTTTACATATTTTTTTTTGGGGGGGGCTCACAACAAAGCCGCCTGGAGGAATGTTTTGGTGGCTGGACGCGGGGCTGCTGCAGGCTACGGATTGTTAAAAAACAGGTCAGCAGGCTGTGCAGGCGGCAACACAGGTGTGTGGGGAAGCTAGCCTGGGGCTACACAGATGCGAGTCAGTTCACAATACCACATTGCAGTTTCACAAACGCTGAAACTCTAGTATCACATCTACAGTAGAGGCTGGGGGTTGCAACTGCACAAAACACAAAACTGGCAGATGCTGCAGGCTGAGATGTGAGGAAACAATGAATCTTGTGGGTCATGCGTGGAAAGGGAAAGCGGAAGAATTTGCAGCCTCCCAATTCTGTCAGGCTGAAAAATCGCTGGAATTACGTCGCTGGTGCTGGTATTGACACAGTGAAGACTGCTGCAGTGTTGTATCTTAGTGGATGTTCTCTCAGAAGACAGATGAAAAGATTGTGTTGCTTGCTTCTCCGGATGCTGGTTGTTTGCTGTGATGGAAGACTGGCGGCTGTGTAGTAAATTTTTAGATAAAAGGACATATTCAGCTAATGTGACATTGTGGCAACGTTTCGCCTCCAGGAGCTTTGGCTCCTAGAGAGCGAAACGTAGGAGAGAGGGAGATTATTTCCCAGTAAAAGTATGCCTTACACAAGGATGTGTGATGTCACCGTGGTTGTTGAATATATTTATAGATGAGGTTGTAAGAGAAGTGAAAGCTCAGGTGTTGACAAGTGGTGTGGGGTTAAAAGATGAAGAATCTAACACAAAGTGGGAGTTGTCACAGTTGATCTTTGTTGATGGCACTGTGCTTTTGGGAGATTTTGAAGAGAAGTTGCAGAGGTTGGTGGATGAGTTTGGTAGGGTATGTAAAAGAAAAAAATTAAAAATGAATGTAGGAAAGAGTAAGGAGATGAAGATAACAAAAAAAATAGGTGACGAAAGATTGGATATCAGATTGGAGGGAGAGAGTATGGAGGAGGTGAATGTATTCAGATATTTAGGAGTGGATGTGTCAGCAGATAGGTCTGTGAAGGATGAGGTGAATCATAGAATTGATGAGGGAAAAAGGGGAGTGGTGCACTTGGGAGTCTGTGGAGACATAACTTTGTCCATGGAAGCAAAGAGGGGAATGTATGAGAGTATAGTTATACCAACGCTCTTATATGAGTGTGAAGCATGGGTGGTGAATGTTGCAACAAGGAGAAGGCTGGAGGCAGTGGAGATGTCATGTCTGAGGGCAATGTGTGGTGTGAATATAATGCAGAAAATTCGTAGTTTGGAAATTAGGAGGAGGTGCGAGATTTCCAAAACTATTATTGAGACGGCTGAGGAGGGGTTGTTGAGGTGATTCGGATATGTAAGGAGGATGGAACAATGTAGAATGACTTCGAGAGTGTATAAATCCGTAGTGGAGGTAAGGTAGGGTAGGAGTGGGACTTGGAAAGGATGGAGGGAGGGGGTAAAGGAGGTTTTGTGTGCGAGGGGCTTGGACTTCCAGCAAGCATTCGTCAGCGTGTTTGAGAGGAGTGAATGGAGATAAATGGTTTTTAGAACTTGACGTGCTGTTGGAGTGTAAGCAAGGTAACATTTATCAAGGGATTCAGGGAAACCGACAGGCCGGACTTGAGTCCTGGAGATGAGAAGTACAGTGTCCTCTGGCAAGACAGTGATGGAGTGAATGATGTTGGAAGTTTTTCTTTTTCGGGCCACCCTGCCTTGGTGGGAGACGGCCGATGTGTTAATAATAAAAAAATACATGTATGTAGTAACTTGCTCTTCCACGACGGCATGGAACGAATTACCGCTGTAGGTCAACAAACGTTCCCTTTCCTACTTAGTGAAGAGTAGCACTACACCAGTAGATGCCAAGGATACATTATTCTAGCCTTCTTATATTTACGTATGTACCAATCTTGGTAGCTGTCGGTCAAGTTGGTACCTACGAGCCAGGAAAAAGAGGGTGACAAGGATTCAGTCCTTCCAGGCCGTAGTTTGTGAGTGATGGGAGGGGAAAATGTTT